GAGACGCAGCATGACCGGATTGCGCAACCAGAATCATTTGCTGTTCGTTTTTATTTGAAACTTCGTTGAGAATATACTTTCGTTACCAATAAAATAAAAAACAATGTATTTGAAAAATTACACTGGGCGATATTGTAATGAAATTGCAGGCGGTCTACTTATTAATTCAACAAGAATTATTAATTATTATTGTTAATTCTGCAATAGTTTCTTTCGTCTTAGGTGGCCCAACTGACGGTGTTGAAAGTCTGCGTACACTAGTTAGATACTTCAATGATGAAAATGGAAGTCCTCAAAAAATATTTGATGATTATTTTTTGAAATTCTGAGCCCAAAATAAGTGCCCACCAGCCGTGAAATCCCCAGGCAATTTTCGGATGGCTAATTTACGACGGCATATAAAGAAAGTATTATTATGGACATCTCGCGTATATTGCCGATGTTTTATACTGTTTGTAGTTTGCATATGAAAGTGGTTGTTGATGCCCCTCCTATTATTCGACGTCGTTGACAATGCGATAACAATGCCACTCGCACTGTGCACATTTTAGCACTAGATCTAGTGCCATTTTAGCACTAGATCTAGTACTTTTTCGGATTAGTGCTACTAGCACTAGCCACTCGCACTACGCCCATTTCGACACATTTACATACATGCAATATATGATTTTTTAAGCCTATGTCACCAGATTAGATTTTGAGGTAAAAGTGTTATAATAGCGTCAAAATGGCGACTTTCCACTAAAATACAACCATCAATTTCTCGAAAAAAAGGCTGGTGACCCCCAACTTTTTTTAAGGTCAATATCCTTATATTGCCTTGGAGTACAATTTTTGAATTTATGAGTAGACTTCTACCTTAAGTGCAAGCAGATCATAGTATAGGGTAGGGATATCATTTTATCCTCAAGCTCACAGCACACCATCTTCTGCGATGTGACAGTCACACCGCATCACGTCATAGAGGTCAGTGTGCGATAGGCTTCAGTAAAAGTATAGACAAGTGAACTATACAGACCTTGTCTAAAGCTGCTACAAAACCAGCATCATTGTTGAACGATGAGAGAACCAGTGCATTGTATTTCCTATGTACGTCCAGTATAGTCTGAACGTACAGCTTGGGATCCTGTAAGCAACGACAAGGATAACACATCACTATGGTTACATTCCCAATTTAGGGATTTGTGTGACCAACATACACATTGTCAAATGTTTAGATTGTGGATAGACTATGAGAAATTAACTTTTAAAAAAGAATTATTATAAAAAGGTCCTCCCTAAAATAAGGTTAGTTATATTGTACATGTGTTTGTGGGATGGGACCCTCCAGCACTCTCAAAATAAAATTGGTGAGAAAGTGAGAGATGACTAATCTTTTTTTGGTTAAAACAGCTTCATTCAAAATGATTTCATGTTTTTTACTTGTTCTGAATGTGATGTTCAAATGATTTGTCACTAAATTAATTTAGTATAAACCAAACTCACATGCATCAAGGTGCCATGATAGTAAATGTATGTCTATGTACAAAATCAGTCCAACCACAACTAAGATCCAGTTCCATAATTGCAGAAATACATGATTTCGATAAGTTTTTTTTCAAGAAATAGAGGAAGATCCAGTTCCATAATTGCAGAAATACATGATTTCGATAATTTTTTTTCAAGAAATAGAGGAAGATCCAGTTCCATAATTGCAGAAATACATGATTTGATAATTTTTTTTTCAAGAAATAGAGGAAGATCCAGTTTCATAATTGCAGAAAACATGATTTTGATAAATTTTTTTAAGAAATAAAGGAAGATCCAGTTCCATAATTGCAGAAATACATGATTTCGATAATTTTTTTTCAAGAAATAGAGGAAGATCCAGTTTCATAATTGCAGAAATACATGATTTTGATAATTTTTTTTCAAGAAATAAAGGAAGATCCAGTTCCATAATTGCAGAAATACATGATTTTGATAATTTTTTTAAGAAATAAAGGAAGATCCAGTTTCATAATTGCAGAAATACA